ATTATAGGGTTGGAGCTAAACTCTGCAGGAAAGTGGATCTCGCGAGCCAGATTTGAGGATCACTGGTCTACATGAAGGATGAAGTGGGACATCGGCAACTGGACAACATGAGGAGTGACCTCAGCATCTTTACCATGGTAGATGACAGTTTTATAATGTTTTTTTTTCAATTTATTAGTAAAATAAGGTCTGTGGTTAACATAACTTGAAGATACTTTAACATTTTGCTCTATAATGTAAATTACACACCCATATGGAGAAGGCGAATTTTGAAGCTGTTATGTTTTGTATTTTGTTTTGTAATAAGTGATTACAAAAGAACATTTGGGGTGTTAATGTGAGGAGAATTTTGCCAACTTTAATAAACAACAGGAGAACACACGTAGCAGGGGAGGTTGACATATACAAACATTCAATACCGGACACTGAATGGACGTAGGAGACAGGCTTATTGGTATTATAAATTTGGTTCTTCAATGCCTGTTCTTGGATGGTCGATATAATTCTTCTTCGACGTAATATGTACTTTTGGTCATTGCGTTAAATGTTGTAGTATTTTTATATATTTGGTTCTGTCATTGCTTGTTCTTGGATGGTCGATATAATTCTTCTTCGACATAATACGTTCTTTCGGTCATTGCGTTATATTTTGTAGTATTATTATAAATTTGGTTCTTCAATGCCTGTTCCTGGATGGTCGATATTATTCTTTTTTGGCATAATGCGACCTTTTCGGTCTTTGCGTTAAATGTCGTAGCATTATTATAAATTTGATCAACCTTCTTGCTCAACCTAATGTGGTCATTGCATCATCGTGTTAAATGTCATCAAGTTAGCATATAATTGCTTTGCTGTGTTTAATCTTTTCCACGTTATCGTTCTAGTGTCATGCTATATTGTTGTCAACTGGTTATAATCTTGTGTTCTTGAGCCGCAGAATAGTTGAGAATAACATCTTCTGAAAATCTGAACCAAGCTACGTACAGCTAAAACTATTTTAAACACTGCTGAACCCAGTTGTATCCAGCTAAAAACAAAAGAACATGCCTGAATCATGTCAAATACAGCTGAACCAACATTGTACAAATAAAAAAATTACCATCCATGTTGTCTGCATATTGTCATCGTCTTGTCTTTCTGAGCCATTGATTAATTTAAAACGATATCTTTTATATATCTGAACCAAGCTATTGACAGCTGAAACTATTTTAAATACTGCTAAACCCAGCTGTATCCAGCTAAAAACAGGAGACCATAATTGATCAAAGCTCAATATAGCCAAACTAATGTCGTAAAAATATATAATGACCATGAAGGCATCGAAAAGATACTGGAGTCTTGATGAAGACAAAGCCAGTGGGTTTACCATGGTGGATGATACAAGCGTAGAGTCAACAATTGGCATATTGACCTCAGTGGATTCAAGTGAAGGACAAGACATACAGAGAAAAATGTAAGCATCTAAAAAAAAGATAATAAGAAGGCATTAACCAACTCTTGGCTTCTTTCTCTATCCCGACACTAATCCAAAATGAGAGAGAGAAGGAAATCCAGGTCAGTATTACCTATATAAATGGGCTGTGTCTTTAAACACATGTCAGATTTTCATTGGCCAGAGGGGGGAAAAAATCCAATGAAAAGTCATCAGTGATCTCAGGAGATCTTACGTCAAATATGGAAAATTCCAGTGGACAAACTCTTTCAAATGCTAAAATTTAAATTTTCATCAAAGAAAGAGCATTTACAAGAAATACATTGCACACCATTTTTCTGTTTTCTTTTATCAAAGATGTAAAATGTGTTTTCCCTTCACTGAACCATCAAATGTTGTTTTTGGAAACAATGCGCTTCAGCAATCACTTTATATTCCATTAGGCAGAGATCAATATGCAAAATTTTCCTGTAAAGGTTTTAATGAAAAGGACTCATTGCTGCCTGAGGTAAATATTATTGTTAAGCTACAAGTACAATAACTGTTAAATATTGATTTCTGTACTCTGTAATTCAGTCTCTTCACAGCACTTCACCTTGACCTAGATAAGCGTGTAGCTGCTCAAACTCCCTTTCGTACTCCGGCTCTTCTTCAATGAGTTACCATTATCAGTCACAATGCACTTCCGCAGGTTGCACTGTAATACAATATCTACTATTTCTCAATGTAAAACAAGCACATTCTATTGGTTAAAATTTATTTATTTTTTTGCTCGTGATTCCTTGATTCCTTTTACGGCAATAGATAATTTTATTGGGTGAGAATCGTATGCGATATTTCTT